CATCAAAGCGTTTGCTTTTAATGTCACGCCTGATACTTAAAACTTTATTGTTATTGTTTTTGAATGCTTTGTAATTCCGACCAGACACGGAGTCAGAGGTGAAAGAGAAAGGAAAAGACAAAAGGAGGGGAGAGAGGGGGGAAGGGGGTGGGGGTGGGGTGTCCCACAAAAATAAACAATAATGAACAAGAGTCTGCTTCTAGACCTGCAGAAAGAGAAAGGATAGAAAAAAAAAGGGACACACAACAATACATCAGGAGCAAGCTATCACTGCGTCAACCTGATGATGAAATATAAAATCAACATTGTTTAACTGAACAATCGATAATAAATCATAGTGCACACCGTACACCCACTCATGCTCCCCATACACACCCTATTCACTCTGGTCCCAGTACTGCTGCACATGGGGTACAACCATCACCGGTAACCAGAGTTTGACCCTTTCTGCTGGGGTGCCGATGAGCAGGCGCCCCCGCCCAACGCTGAGCACAGCAACCCACCACCCCAGACCCCAACCAGACGGCCAGGTCTCCCTCCTAGCCTCCAGCCCCAGGAAGCCTAGCAACAACAGAGGTGTGCTAAGACACCTAGTCTCCCTCCGCCTGCTCCAATATAGTGTTGTGTGTTAATGAGGTGTATTCCATGGCTGTGGTGAGCGGGCAGTGTGGGCATCGTCTGGCCTATGCCAGCTGATGCCACCGCACCACCCCACTTGCACCCACAGCGCTCGGTGTCTAAGTGCAGTTTAAAATTGGAAGTGGGCACCGGCACCTGGGATGAGGCTGAGAAACCCCCCTGCCAAGTGTCGTTGAATGTGCTCACTCCCAAGGCCCTAAGTGTGTGTTTGCGTGGAACTAAAGTTATTGTGTGTGTGTGTGTGTGTGTGTGTGTGTGTGTGTGTGTGTGTGTGTGTGTGTGTGTGTGTGTGTGTGTGTGTGTGTGTGTGTGTGTGTGTGTGTGTGTGTGTGTGTGTGTGTGTGCGCTAAATAAAACTGAGAACAGGATGTTATTGGTCATTCTGGATGTAAGACTGGTATCCTTGGAATGACCAGGATCTGATTATCTGGATGGATCTGAAGGTTGTAGCTGGGTTGAATAACACTTGGAGATTTCCTGGCCCTCTGTTATTAAACCAGAACATTGTAGCCAGTTTCTGTGAGGAATAGTGGACCTTCAAGAAAGGCATTTACAGTAAAACTGGAATTTGGTTCATTAAGGGCTCTAAAGGATGAAAGGAGTTTAAAGAGATACTTTGCGACTTTTTGATATTACACATTAAATAATTTTCTTGGGCCAGTATGTGCTAACATGAGCCTTTACAGGGTTAATGAAGCCCCTATGGCCAGAATATTCCACTTGCAGCTTCACAGTTGCCGGTCCGCTGTGTTGAGACTTGGAAAAAAATTGAACTTACTGTACATACCTGGCGCTGCAGTCTGGCTTCTTGCATGTTTTAGATCATGAACTCAGCTGATATTTTTCATTTAGTAATGAATTGCTCCTGTAGACACTAAGGAAGGCTGGGAAATGTTTCAACTGTTAGATTATGGTGTTAAAAAGATGAACGCACAGCGAGAAGATTGGTTTTGGTTCTAAAGACGGACACTACAGGGTGCTAAAAGCAAGCCAAAACTGCCTAGTCCCCCTTTAAATTAATGAGTCAGGGGTATTAACAGAAGCAACATATCTCACCCTTCTTGAACCAGGCCTAGGGGGAATCTTGTGGAATCATCCTAATCTCCTGGGTCTTGGATGACCTCAGTTTCCTGGAGAGAATGTGGACTCTCTGCTACTCTGAGGTTTCTCAGAGGCAGCTGTAAATACTAGATGTTGGTGTACAACATGAAACGGCAGGTAATAAAGTTCTGACTGCCCTTTGTGCTCATGCATCACTGATGACATTTTTTAGAGAAATGGGCTTAGTTAAATCTGGAGGTCCACCAAGATCAGAGACAGGGATTTCAGATACAGTTGGATGAGTTGTGCCTTGCTGATGGCCAAGTTTATCAGAATACTGAAAATGCTGAATTGCATTTTACAGACAGCCATGGCAAGAGATTTGGTTTGTGTCTGAAGGCGGAGACGATGCTTTGGCTCTGATAAATCAGCTTCAGTGTTTCCTTTACATAGGCGTAGTCGTGGCGGCCCACCACGGCGGAAATCCCAGCGCCACGCCAACAAGATCCCAAGTTTTATTGATTTTTTTTGCGCCGTTTCCCAAAGAAGCAGCGGGAACTACTCTGTTGTTGCTTGTGATCGCAGCTGGCAGGCAGCAATGAGGAGGATGCAGGGCAGGGTGGTTACAGCTAAGGATGAGCCGGATACTCATTTTCAGACGAGTATCCGGTACGGATAAAGCATTTTTGATGAATACGAGCGTTAAACGAGTAAAACTCATAAATATCTGTGTTCGTGCTGAAGGAAAATCCTCATTAGGTAACCGACTGTCTTCAGTTTCTGTGATTGGCCAGTCACATAGAGCGCCCGCCCCTCCCTACACACAAAACTGCAGCCGGGAGCTCAGTCCGTCCGGCCCATCCACGCGCACACACACACACACACACACACACACACACACACACACACACACACACACACACACACACACACACACACACACACACACACACACACACACACACACACACACACACACACACACACACACAGTAACGGATCTCTCTGTGCTTGCTTCACTGTTGCTCACGTTTCTTCAGTGCTCCCCATGTTTTCTTCAGCTCGCCTCTTTTTCGGTTGAATATTTAATGTTACTTTTTTCGTAACGTACGTGGTGCGTTTGACAAGACAGAGCTGAAAACGGCTCGTGCATTCGTCGGTCACTGCCTCCGCTCCGGTCGTTTTTTTTTTTTTTTTTTTTTTTTACTCTCTCCCTCTCTCTCTCACACACACACCTCAGTCAACATTGTTTTGTTTAACTGTGTGTGGGTAACATGCCAACAACGTTAGGAAAAAATCAGTTTAATCAAATTAAAATAAAATGGTTCTAGTATGTCATATTTCCTAGTTCCTACTGCATGAGTTCAGATGCATTAATTCATGTACTTAAATAATAATGTTCTGATTTTACTGAAAAACTTGTTCTGTAATAGTTCCTTTACTATTGTGATCAAAAATATTTAATCTCAATTCTGAGGCTGCTCTGTAAATAGTTTTCAAGTAAACAATACACATAGCAACTTCTGATCAATCCATATCAATTTCAGACTTAAAATAATGTATTGATGTAAACCACACCCACTAATTTCCAAATAACAAGGTACATTCATCTGTGTATCTCCTTTGATCCGCATTAGTGATGTTTTCAGCACCAGAACAATGAAGCAAAGAAACAGATTTCTGAGTTTGTTAGTAATTTTATTTATTAGGTGCATCTGATCTGTTCTATTTTTCTCTGAAATGAGATCAAATCAGTGCTTCTTGTCATGGTCTGCGTCTGCCCCTTCCTTCATGTGCCTGCTGGTGTTTCTCCATCCTCTCTAGGTGTTCCTTATGTGTCCTAGCGCCCTCATGTGTCATGTCTGCGTCTTCCTCATGTGTCTTCTGGTTTTCCCCATTTGCCCCTAGATCTCCAGCCCTCTAGGTTTCTCAGGTCATTTCCTTTAGTTACAGCCTTTCATGATTTAGTATGTTTTTCCCATCAGTGTTTATTATTTTTCTCCCACCTCCCTTTGAATTGTAGTTATGTTTCCTGCTCTTTTGTATTAGGTTTTTTCTTAGGTCAAGTTAGTTTCTCCCCTGATTAGTCATTGCCTTCACCTGGTCCTCCTCACACCCCACACACCTGCAGCTCATCTCCCTCTCATCCTCCCTGTGTATTTAAGCCCTGTCTTGTCTCAGTGTCTTGTCGGTCCATTGTTATGTTATTCTGTCAGTTTCGTCTCGCTTTGGATTACTAGTGTTTTTGGCCTTCTCGTGTTCACTAGTGTTTTTGGATCTCCAGATCTTTATCTGGATTTTTGGGTTTTGGCTTCCAGCCTTTTGGATTTAATTTTGTTTTTGGTTCTCCTTAAAATAAAGGATTTTACTTAATCTTCATCCCTGCCTCGTGTCATCCTGGGTTACTGCATTTTTGGGTCCAAACATCATCGAATGTGACACTTCTATGGGTTGTCTGCACTAGAAAATTTTACTTTATTATAATGTTCACTAATGCATCTTGATGTTCTTAACAAATAAATTAAATCAAAGATATTGGTCAGTAATGCCAAATATGTAAATCTGTGTTTCAGTCATTTTTATACTGGCTTAACATTAAGTCTACTAAGCAGGGGTGTAGAACGTTTTTAATAGAGCTTGACCCAAAATAAAGGGGGCAGAAAGTCAAATAAAGGGGGGCAAAAGGAGATGTTTTTCCAAACGCCAAGAAAAATCAAATGCCAAATCCCCCCCCTGCAAAGTGTGTCACTGAGAGTTTAAAACAAAAATTATTCTTGTGCAGATATTGGTGTATTCACCTTTAATACTAGTTATTGAAATGTAGCAGTTGCTGGATTGGTGCAGTTCAAAGTGGAGTGCATCAAATAAAACAATATTAACAAAGGTGAGATGTGTCATAATTCCCCCCTCCCTACCACCACCACCACAGCTGGAAAAATTCCTAGGGGAAACACTGAGCTTTCAGACTGATCATTGTCTAAGTCAAAGGGACCGAGGCAAAGTGAGGTCTGAGGATCCATACTAACTAGATGCCCTAATCAGAGGAGGTGTAGCCCTGCTTCTTAAAACATACACTCATCAATTAATAATTTATATCATGTTTGTAGACAAGAAAAGACATGAGAGGCACCAGCTTTAATTGCTCCAGGGGGTTGATAAAGGTTAAATGCATTTAATGAGTAAATGAATGCAAAACCTTTGAAAGAGAGATGAAAGAGCAAAAGGACATGAGCCCAAGGGAAAATCCAAAAGACGGAGACACGTTTTTTTCTGCTTTTGATACATAAAATAAAGTTGTTGTTTTTCTATTTTGTCCAAAGGGACCATCTGATCTGCATGGAGCTGTGGCCCTCAGACAAACACCGGCTTGCCTACACAACCTCACTGCTGATCTTCCAGTACTGCCTGCCTCTCATGCTGGTCTTTCTCTGCTATCTAAGAATCTTCCTCCGCCTGAGACGACGCAGGTCACATAGCTATGCTTTCCCTCATGTACTCCACATACCTCTCATTACATGTTTTTCCCATTCACTGCATCTTTCCATCTTTTCAATCTTGTGCCTCATTATAGGTGCTATTGTCATTTATTTGTTGCCTACTCCTATCTGAGGTTCGTTTTCATTTTCTATTGCCAATAGTCTGACAATAAACATGGTACTGTGTTGTGCAGGGATATGTTGGAGCGCAGCAGGAGGACTCGGGGAGCCCAGAGGATTAATGTAATGCTGTTAGCCATTGTTGTTGCGTTTGCCTTATGCTGGCTCCCACTGAATGTCTTCAACACTTTATTTGACTGGCACCACCAGGCCCTACCTGATTGTCAGCACGATGCTGTCTTCTCAGCCTGTCATCTCACAGCAATGGCTTCCACTTGCATCAATCCAGTAGTTTATGGTTTTCTCAACAGCAACTTCCAGCGAGAGCTGAGAACAACCCTGCAGCGTTGCCAATGTGGCAATCGGGCTGGGGAGAGCTATGAAAGCTTCCCTCTCTCCACCGTCGGCAGCGAGGGAGTGACCAAAGCAACATCCCTAAACAGGATGGGATCAGTATGCATTCCCTCACCCAGACTTGAGATCAGCTCAGCAGCGCTAACCAAAACATTACCAGCTAACTCCTAACTTTGAGAACTAGACTCTCCCCTGGTGAAATGATAGCTGGAGGTTTTGTCAGAAAGACTGTACAACAGATCACAAACAGCTGTACCATCCAGAAATGGTCAGTTTTCACCTACATGTTGACCTTTTCGGTGACCAGTCATCTACAGACATGAATCTGCCTCTCTGCGTCTCTTACTTCCATGCTGCAGGAAAGATTTGCCCCTGTGTGTTGTAATGATTTAAATTACATGTTATTTAATAAGCCATAAGGCGTAGGATTCCATAGGAAATATGAAATCAACCTTATGGATCTGTGAGGTTATTTTAACCAGATGATTTGAACTTTTTATTGCAGGTATTAGATAACAGCTTCGTATTCACTCAGAGACAACAGAAGAGAGAGAGTCAAGTTTAACAGTTTAAAAATTTATCACTAACATATTAAGCTAGACTGACTTTAAACACTAAATTTATGGTGTAACTAAGATGGATGAGACGGTGAATGGGGTGAGGTGTAATGTTGCTCAGAACCAGCAAATCCGAAGAAGCGATTAGTTCTGATGGGAACTGAAGGTGATGTCTTCGCATTAAGCTTTGATTAGAGATTCACAAACACATCCGACACCATTTACCGGGCTACATACCCTGAGCGGAAGTCCCCGTCTAGATCAGGAGGTGTAAAGGTCCAGCTTGACCTTATGGAGCAGGAGCCGGTAGAAGCAGCCACGTCAGCCAACCACCCGTCTTGAGATACTTCCGGGTCACGACAATGTTATTGGCGTCTAGCGAGACCCAAGCCTGAGTCTTGATGGTTCAGCTTTATTCTGACAGGAACCGTTGCAGCAGTTGGAACAGCAATGAATTTTCCAGCTTGTTGTTGGTTCTTTTGGTTGAAGAGGAAAGTTACAGATTGGCCACTCCGACAACTTCTCTAGAACGCTTTGAAATGGCGTTAAAGATGACGTGGGCATGGTTTTATACTTCGGATGTCATGGTTTATAGTTGAATGAAAAGTTGACAGACTTACCAAACACCATCAAAACCACTTCTTCGTCAGATCTGGCAGATTCTGATTGGATCAGTGAATGTAATGTGTCATGTCTTTTAACGCTACGTGAGATCAGTCCTAATGGAACATTTAAAGTCATAGTACCTTTATATTCTATAGGATTATTATAAAGCAATTACATTTTGATTTCACAGGTCGGTCACATCTTATTTATTGACTAACACTTTGCTTGATTAGCTAATTAAAATTGAGTTCTTTGATTAATTAAAAGAAAAGAGTCCATTCTTCATTCTTCTGTTGAGCTGAAAAGAAGCAGGTTAGAAGCAAATGCATGAGGCCTTGAGACCATATCTCATGCAGACTAGTCCTGTGTCAGGAGGGAGAAAACAGTCATTTCATTCTGTTACAGTGTTTACACTCTGATTGGTCTTTGAATGTTTAATCAGAAGATTCTAGGATTCTTTGCCTTTTCAGGGATCAAACACACTTCGTATCAATTCAGATAGAGTCAGGTTTATAAAAAAAGTAAGAATTTATTTTCTAAACAATTAAAAACATAAGTTAACTAAGACGACTGTGATGGATGAATTTAAGTGGATGGGATGCAATGTATGGTGATTAAATGGTGTGTGTTTATCAGAGCCTTGTATCTAGAAGAACGGAGTTCTGGGTGTGAAAAGATTTTGGTTTGCATTAAGCTATGAAGTTGGTTCTTATCAAAACGGCATCAGACGCAATCATGCTGTGTCTACCTCACCCTTTCTTTGGAGACCCTCTTCACGGATCCGGAGGTCAGGAAGGTCGGATGACCTCTGGGCACTGAGGTTCAGTAGATTAACCGCAGCACCGACGCTCCAGTCCAGAGATGTCGCCGGGCACAACAGGTTGGAACTAGTTTGCGTCTAGAGCAGCTATTTCTGAATAGCTGAAGGAACCGTTTTGCTGTGTCAGCTGTAGACAGCTTTTAGCTTGTTGACAGCTTGTCAAGAGATGCGGTGGCTAGAGAGATTTCCCCCGGTGGCCAGTCCGGAGTTCTGCTCAAACTAACAGAATGCTGAATCACTCCACAAGTGATCCTGTTTTAATATTCTCATATTATGATTTAATTGGCCAATCGGGATGTGCCATGTTAAGAGGTGTTAACAAACAAACCTCAGAACATCACGCCGTCTCCGATACAGGATGCTTTGATTTGTGGGTAAGAAAATATCTATGTGCAATGACTTTAACTTTAATTTATATCTTATGAACGTTGTGTATGAGTGTAAAAAATTATTCAATTGTTAAATCAAACATTACTGATCATAACATCAAAATGTTTCATTGTAATACTAAAATTCATTTCAACCACAGTAATTTAAGCACAGATTAATCCAGCATTAATATTATTATTCACATAACATTTTTTCATTCAACCATATTATTATTTATTGATTATTTAACTTATGAGTTGTAAAAGTTCATCTTTTGTCCTTTGAAGCAAGCGGATAGATAAGGCCACAGCTTGGCAGAGAGGAACCTTGAGGGAGGTACATGATGTTGACAATCGAGTGTAAACACGCAGGGGCGAGTCTTTCCTGCAGCTTGGAAGATTAAGAGACGCAGAGAGGCAGATTCATGTCTGTAGATGACTGGTCACCGAAAAGGTCAATATGTAGGTGAAAACTGACCATTTCTGGACGTTACACAAGTAAAAGCCAACAGGGCTTCTGCTTGGTTTAATGCCCAGCACTTTATTATTGAACACTTGTACCAGTTATGTTGATGGGACAAGTAGAGAAGAAGTCGATGCTCATCAAACCCACATAACAAGAAGAAAACTCATGGAAGCAAAGACCAAGTGGAGTACTGAGGACTATTCTCCTGTGGCCACTTTTTAAGAACTGTTGCAAGATTGTCTGTACTTATATTCTTAAACCACACGTATGGTTCTTTTTATTAATAGCTGTTAGATCTCACAAGCAGTACAAACAAAAGTCAGTTTTACATGTTGGGCAAGTAGATGAAGGCTTCTGCAGCGTTCCTACATCTGCAAACTAACTGGAATCTAAAAGGTTGTGTTCAAAAATTAGTTTTAGATCAGCTTCATCCATGTGCCCTCTTGATAGACAAAGTTACTGTAGCACACAAAAGGGTGACAGTCTGAAGGGTCATCATATTGTGCAATCCATGCTGTTTCCACCGAGGGGCTTGGTGAACCAACGTGTACCGTACATAATATAGTCTTTATGGCTGATGGCGTAAACCATGCAACAGGCCTTACTGTTTAAAATAAACTGTAAAATGTGTCCTTTGCTCTAGATTCAGCATCTTGAAATTTGTCAACAAATAGTTGTTATTCTTGATGTTTGTATTTGCATTGTGGCTGTGAGCGAGAACCTCAACTGGACTTTCGTATAAAATCTTATTTTATGTTGGTCACATTATAGAATAGGAAGAGATAAACACATTTTAAGGCAGTGTATTGCCTAGAATATTGTGCCCATTCCATGAACTCCGATGAAATACCAGAATTCTCTAATTTTTCTTGTTGAATTGATGAGTTTGAACTTTCCAATTTAATACTCAACCATGATTTGATGTGCGTGGAGCAGTTTTAGACATCTCTGGTTCAGAAAAGGAGAGTACCAACTTCAGTTACCCTTCTATGGTATAGTCCATGGATCATCAGTAGAAATAACTGACTTCTGATTTAACTCTATATGGTTCTTTAAGCAAAACTGGTAACTGGTGATTAATTGTAGAGTGAATCTATCTAGCAGACTATATTATTTTAGTCTCAATAGCAGCGTGTTTTGTTATTTGGACAACATTCTGTCACAATCTTGCAGATCTACCTTCAACATTGAACTGTCCACCTGAAATCCAAAGTGATCTGCCACTCGCAGCAGATCACGCTTGCGACAGGCACTAATCAGTCTACAGGATGGGGCCCCCACAAACTGCCCTAAATCAAAAGTAGCCATAATTGTTAAAACACTGAAAAACACAAATAATCACGCATCCAAACTTAGGATAAGGGGTACTTAATATCCCGGACGAGCCCCCATATGTTACATTTTAGGTGTCTTGGGGGCCTGGGGTAACATGGGGGATGCGTTACAGAAATTATAAGTTAAGAGAGGTTTTATTTTATTTTCATTTTTGTAGCTTATTCTAGAAATAAGCCATAATTGAACAAAAGGGTCTTTTCACTAGAGATATCAACATTTAACCAAAACAAGCTGAAACACTAAAATGTAACACAAAAAGGAACTAACGACTCTAAAGAAAGCACAAAATCTCAAAAAGGTAACAGATTACCCGTAACTCTTATCTCCACTCAATATCAAAGTCTCAAGTCCTAAGTGGGAGACAACAGACCAGAGGAAAGGCAGCTCTGCACTATTGTCCCCATTGGTGAGGAGCTGCAGCAGGTCACAATTAGTGGCTGATGAGAACATGGCACAGCTGGTGCAGGGAGGAGCAAGGGTGAGCAGACAGGTCTGCTGGCATGCTCCTCAGATGCAGCATCAATGAGGCAAAAAAATGCACAGAAAAATGAAAGAACACAACGCAAAAGGCTCCAGTCATAACAATTTGAATACTGTTGTGGTAGGAGGATATACTGCAGTTATGAAGCACCAACTTCCTGATACTAACAAAAGAGAAGCCATGGTAACTATGCCAGACCTTACAGCTATGATTGTCGTGAAGCAGCTTCTGAACAGTTCAAGTAATTATCACAGATACATTTAAAGAAATTTACAAGTAACATATTCATATTTGTCACAGCGTGAAATGCATTCATGCCCACCAGAACAATCGGTTGAATGAGTAGATTCAAGTGTTTAGGATCCATTTGGTAGAAAAGGCCAAAACCTGTTGTATAGTAGCCCTTGAGGCCCAAGGTTGTTGGCCACTCATCTAATGTTTGTTGACAGAAGAGTTCAATGATTTAATTACAAAAATCATTGATGTGGTGAATCTCAAAGTACTGACTCAAATTCCAAGAGATATAGAGAAATCAAATCATGTAGACAAGTGAATTAAAATACCAGTGACTTTTTAAGCACCTCTCAAAGAGTAAATTAAAGTTAAAGTCCCGTTAGTTGTCATACACTCTGGTGTCTGGTGAAATTTGTTCCCAGTATTAGATCCTTCCTCTGGGGAAGCGGTGAGCTGTGTCTCGACTTCCACCTCCCAACCAGCCTCCAGACGGCCGGTGTCACTCTAAGACTCCCTTTTCCTTCTACCCCCTGCCGGATCTTCCATCAACCTCAGCCACGTCATCATGCAAGACCATTTCAGGAAGTGAAGCAGGCCAATTCATCATTCAGTCATTGTTCCAGTGGATCTATGATCAGAGTTGCTTGATGACCAGTTCACCCAACCTACTCACAGCAAATGAGTAAGTCAACTTCTCTTCTGGAGCATCACTGCGTTCCTGTTTGCCCTCAGTTCACGCACGGGTGTTCCTATATCAAACCCTGCGCTGGCTGTATCCCAATGCTCATACTTCCACATCTGGGCAGCCACTCACGCTACAGCTCAACTCCAGCCAGTCATCTTTTCAGCCTGACAAGCTGCAGACAAGGCCACGCTCTGGAACTAATTGGTGCATTAACCCCCTAATCAAACCCCTAATGCTGAGTGTCAAACAAGGAGGCATTGGTCCCATTATTAAAATAACATTATCATAACAATATCATAGGTATAATCTTAAATATGTTTCTGGGTTGCTAAAATGACTAGATGAAGACACAAAATTACATAATAATGCGCTATGTTTAAATCACCAGTTCTCATTAGACATTTCACACAAAACAGTTGTGAATGTCAGAAACATTTTTGTTGTAATGTAGTAACAACGTATCTTAGTCATGTCTCAACCTGGCTGCAAACCGCTCCCAAGGCTGTTTCAAATCTCTTCACTTTTGGACTCACTGTCTGGGTTCCAGACAGGTTCAGCACACATGCAACAGCTCTGACTATGGAGAACATTTGCCTTGGAAGTTGTTGAAGATGGTAAAACATTCAGTGACACCCTGTCATGCTGAGGGAGGTTTGGACCCAAACTGCAGAAACCCAGGACAACACAGAGAGAGAGATGAAGTTAATAATGAAAGGTCCTTTATTAAAGGAGGGTCACAGCAAAATTCAGACGAGGCACAAGAACCAAACTCAAAAGGCTCAGGAGCATGACAGGTAACAACAACGCTGACAAGCAACAATGAACCAACAAACACAGAAGACAAGACCAGGGCTCACGTACACAGGGCTGGGTGATGAAGGGAATTTGGGACAGGTGGGACTAATAAACTGAGAAGAAAAACCAAGCAGGGGAGGAAACCAGACTTAAAAACGTGTAAAACAAAAGCTACTGAACATAAATTAACCTAAACACTATAAAAATAAAGACACAGAAGAAACAAACTAATGACCTAAAGAGTTACAGAACCAAATACACCAAAATTAAAAAAAATACCTAATCAAAGTGAATGACACAACAAGGAGGGGAACCATGAAGGGACACTGGAGACGAGGACACGGAACGTGACACACCAGAGTGAGGCTCTTTTAATTTGCAAGTAAGTTGAGTTCCCTCCCAACTGTTTAACCCTTATATAACCCTTTAATTTTCTAACGTTTTTGTCATTTGAGCACAAAAAAATGCACTAAGGTTAAACAAGGGTTAAAATATTTTGAAAACTCCCTCATTAATGCTGTGTCACGAGCGTGCCGGGCAGCGAGGCGGTGATCAGAGGAGGATCCAAGCGCGGGGAGGAAGAAGGCAAAGAGGTAGGTATCTTTACCATAAGTTTATTAATGACGCACGCTGGACATGGGAAACAATGACACGACATGGAACACAGAACAGAAGGGGTTTAAATACACGAGGAGCGGGAGCTATGGTGATTGGGAAACAAGAGGCAGGTGGGAGCAATTAACGGAGACACAGACTAAAACCTAAGAGAAGACAGGACAGGGTGTGACATGCTGCTTAAAATTGGTTTTCCAACTGTCGCAGCCCAGAAGATTTCCTTATTCATTTAGTCAAGATTGGTTATAACAACTACCCTTCCTGAGATCCACACTATACAATCCATAAATTACATTTGCAATAATAAAGCATTAATCATTAGAACAAACAATCATAAAAACATGAAACAGAATCATCCCTGTAAACAGTCAACGTCACATGGACGTGCAGATCATGTTTATATTGAGTCTGTCGGTCCACATCACGTCTGTAGGATGTCCAAACCAGGTCTTTGCACACTGGGATCAAACATTACTACAATCATAAAGACATTATTAGTACATTACAGGTTTATAAACTGAATCATATGCTGTCACAACTAATACAAAATAGGCATTCAACTTCTGAAAAATTGCCAATGTTATTTGTTTTTAAAATAATACTGTTTATGTATCTTAAATATAAGGGCAGTTTTTTCCATATTGAAATGGCTCGGTATTTCACTGATTTCTCCAATATATTAGTTTTTGATTGAGGTGATGCATAATTAATCAAAGATATCAAAGTAAATAAATGGTGGTATCATCAGCATACATTGGCATTGATGCTTTTTCAATACATTTGGTAAGTCATTAGGAAATATTGTATAGAGATGTGGTCCTAAACAGCTTCCTTGCGGAATTCCACATTTTAATTGTTTAATGTCTGATAGAGTGCCATTAACTGCATTGTTGGTTCTTTTTTAAAATACAAAAAAGGTTTCTTTTTACCTTACTGACAGTTTTGTTTGCCGACTGCAAACCTTCCTCAGAGCTGATAGTGGCGTCACTTCCTACTCCGTTTAAGAGTGCCATTAAAAAAACACACTGCTGCCTGTCTGAGAGATACATTTCGATCCACTTGAGTCCTGACAGGTAAAAGCCATATGCTGACCATTTATTAACACGGAGCTCATGATCGATTAGGTGAAATGTCGCACAAAAATCTACCCACTATTAACAAGATACTGACTTTAAGCTTAGTGAAACATTTTTTTAAACATTTTTTTGAGTTTTGAGATCATCTTTGTTTATTAATGTACAAAGACAGATTCTCCAATTTTCCAGCATATCTAAAACTATGAGTGCCAATTGTGATTGTCCAACGAATATATATTTACTATCTGGAACAGTTATTTCTTTTTTTTTTTTCTTTATTTGTGGAGTTTTACATTTGAAGAAAATATTTGGCAGAAGTAATTGTTTTTACCATGTTAGCCTTATTTTGAATGAAGTGAAACTTTATAGAATTGTTGTTCTGATTCTAAGAACTCAACAGAATGATGTGAAACCACTGCTTAGATTTTATTTATAAAATCATTTTTCAGCACCTTTAAAAGACTTTTTCTATTAGAGCATGTTGATGTTCTCCAAATTGTTTTTTGATCTTTCTTTTCCAGAGCAAACCCATGTCAGATCCTAAAATCAAAATGACCTGTTGTGCTAGATCGGAACTATATAGCATTTTCTAGCAAATAAAAAGTTGTATTCTTTATGTTTAATTGTGTACTATTTTTAGTTATGCAAACTATGTTTAACCTGTGACATGAGCACTTTGCATTTTGTAATTAAATAAAGCAGACTTATAAATTAAACAATTATTTTGTCATACCTTCTTAATGTGTCATGACTTGAAAATATTGTGCTTTTATTTTGAAGGTTTTTTGTGCAGTTGTCCAAATATAATTAACCTATCAGAGACAAGAAAAAGGTTTACCCTGAGCCAACATCTGGTGGAAGGAGCTTTAGATACAGAGCTGAAGCAGAGAGGGACGGAATTATGCTTTAATTCCTCATAGATTTGAGCTACCATTGCTGAATTAACTGACTGTCTTGTAACATCAAAATTTCCTGGTTTGATCGTTCTGGTCTTTCAATGCAACACTCAAAAACATGTTGCTGTAAGAACAATGATTAACACACACGTGAATGTAGAATGCTCGTATTTTGTTTAGCCTACATTTTAATAGGATATGTATTTGAAAAAAGACATTTGGCAGTGTTAATCATGCATTTTGTGATCTTATAGGACTTTGTGAACTGGGTTGAAGGGAATAATTTAACATGCATAAGTATCTAAAACAAGAAAAATGTCTTTGCCTCTCCAAAATCTGCCATTAATAGCAAGCTAGAAAGCATTGGAATTATCATTAATACTAAATAGGAAAAGGCAGTTTTATTTTCATTGATTCTGTACTTGTCACTTTAAATGCACTAATTCTGTCAAAGAAGCAAGCATAAGTTAATAAAGATCTCATTTCAGGCCGGTGTAGCATGGTGTTTTTGCCCTAGGTACGTCTATGTTGAGAAACAGAATGGAATAAATAAATGACTGAAAAGTTTCAATCCAAGACTATATTCAGCAAGGCTGAAGGAAAAAAGAAAAGAGTATTTTCAGATTTGGATCAACATTAAAAGGCTGTGGTGTGTTCATTTTTGGGCATTGTTTTATAGTTTTTTTATCATTCAGAAACAAATAGAACCAAACTCAAAGTCCTCTGAGCAGGGTACTTGTGCTAAGAAGCATGAAAAGGCTCAATTGTCTTTCAAACTTGCCATTGCTGCTTTTAAAGACGTAATAACGGTGTTTGACTGAAGAGACTGACGTCAGGAATCTCTGGGATTTTAATGTGGGTCAAAACCTGAAAGATTTGGAAATGACTGCTCTCTGATCTTTTATTTTACGCAATGTAACAAATTATGTAACTGTTGTAATGCATGTCATCATTTCACTGAAATTTGTTGTAATTATGTATTTTCACAAACTTCTACTACAAACATCTGAATGTTTATCAGCCAAAGATGATTTAATAGTCTTGAAATCGTTGTCAGTGGGAACTTTGGAACTTTATGAAAGGTTTTGGGGCAGGTGAACACAACAAATGAATGTAAGTATGTTACATATTATCTGATATGTGTCAAAATGTTCTCAGATATTCCTTTGAAAGTACTTACAATGGTAGATGTTTTAATTTATTCTGTTGCATATTTTCTTTTCATTTTTTGTAACACAGACAAAATATTTTAGACAATTTGTTATAGATGCTTTATTACATTATAAGCTTCCTGTGTAATAAATGATTTGTTCAGAATGTCTAAATAAACGTCTTCACTAACTATTTTTCCTTCTCATGTGGATCTCATTTCCCCACATCGTTATGTTTACAGAGGAGTGTAAACATAAACACCAGTTTCATGATTGTAATAAACATGGTTGTTTGTTGTTTAGCATTTTTCTTTAAAAGGCTGCAAACAAACTGAAAATTGTCATTGGGTGCTTCCACCCCTTTGTACACTCACCTCATAATTACAAGATTCTCTGAAAATCTTCAGAAGATCTGAAGAACTCATTTTAATCACTGTAAAGGACATTCTTACAGTCTGTCCCCTTGGAATTAAAATATGTGGAAACCAAGTTTATGAGTTTTACCAAAGGATCAGACGTGAAGCACACCTAGAGGCAAGGCAGTATATATTTACTTAAGTATGCCGCTGTCAATTAGAAAGAGAAAAGTTGAACAAATGATTCTGCTCTTTCATGCTCCAGCAGAAATGCTTGTGCTCTGAAAGCACTCTATCAAGACTCAGTCCTACCATGATATCTAAACCTGACAAGTCCTACAACCTATCTCCAGTTAAACATTCATAAAAAGCAGTTCTTGGTAGAATTGACTGACTTATGCCCAATGTGAACCTTATGCTCTCTGAGTGAGACAGATCTGGCTCACATTTACAGGTTTGTAAGGAAAGAGCAGAAAGGCTGCAGTAAAAAGCTTCACTTTTTTTACATAATGCACAGTGACCACTGAGTTAAGTGGTGGGTAATTCAATGAACCGCCTCGATGAGTGAGTTGTATAAATGCAAGCAATCCATAAATCCATATGGTGATTACTGAGTACAGAGCAGGCTAATGGACGCCCTTTTGTGTGATACTGATGGATTCTTAATATAAGAGCAAATGTCATATTGTGTCATGTTTTTACTGTAGGTCAAGATTGCCCTCATACATCATTTCTTTGTGTGTTAAGATGTAACCTTTGTTTGACACATTCCTCAGAGAGTTAAAATCCTGGAGCGCTTTTGTTTCATTTAGATAAAATCTGCTTTGGAACACACATGATGTGTGAAAGAAGGTTAAATCATACCAGCCTTATAAAATAAGTGGTACTGTTGGTCACAAAATGTTTTAAAGCTATGGTTGAATGAGTTTAATTATAAAATTAATGAAGATGGATTTATAAATTTTATAATAAAAACATTTAGTTATGTAGCGACATGTAATGGCCTCATTTTTGACCCAAAGGTCACACTTCCTCAGCTGGTTCAAGCTGTCCTGGCTGCACAGATTATCCATCACAGGAGACGCAAAGTCTGCTGTAAACCACCTTTAATCTGAACTGCCTTACCATATCTTGACTTCCTTTGCCTCCACAGCAAGACAAGGATTTTATCACGTTCCAGAAGAATCATTTATAATAAACTCTTTTTACTGTTAAATCACCAAAGTTTCATTATAAATGTGTTTAATTACGGAAATGAATTATTATTCTGTGGTTAATAATTATTTATGATAATCAGTAATGTTTGATCATGACAAGTGTATTATTTGCATCCTCACACATAGTCTCCATGTTAAATGGTAACCTTGCACTCACATAACCTTTTGTCACATGACAACCCAGAACTTTCTGTCTCTGAGAGGACGTGTTCCGAGGTATGTTAAATCCTACCCTCTAACATGTCAAAATCTGATTCGATAGAATAAGATTACCGGCCGTCTCTTAAAACCTAACTCCTCAGTTCAAGTTCAGTTCTTTTCGCTCACCATATTATCTCCGTGGCAATGAGAGTCCAGAGGACCGATTCGGCCGTTCGAAACCTCTACTAAAGCTTTTCTGTCACGCCGATAGAATTGCTTCAACAGAAACGCCATCTGCAGCACAAGCTGACGCAAAACTCCTTCAGAGTTATTTTAAGATGCAAAACCATCCACCTGTGTCACCTGCGACATCTCTAGGACCAGAGAGTCTTTACCACTGGTCTTCCCTACCGGACCGGGTACCCAGAGGCTGATCGACATCCTCCTTTGACCTCCGGATCTGAACAGAGGGTCGTCTGAACAGTGAGGTAGAACACAGATTGCATCTGAATGCCTTTTATTAAGAAATAATTTAGCTTAACTGCAAACCAAATTCTTTCACCCAGAATGTGTTTTTCTCTCTCTAGGATAAAACCTTCTGAGCACCTACATTCACACATCCAAACACACACACTTCATTTTTAGTTTCATCCAGACACGGATTGCTTTAATACTGTTGGGGTCCTGCCCTCATGAAAAAATTACTGTGCAGTATTTTCTCCAAAGGACTGTGCCATCTACGCCCTGAAGCGTAGACAATAAAGCATGTTAATATCAGCGCCAACAGGGTCTCCATGTCCCATGATCCTCTGCAGCTGGCAGCAGCTTGATGACATCATCAAGCGACGCCAAGTCTGACCAGCCCCCGGTGGATACCGGCCCCTACAGAGACCGCCCGCTGGACGAGTATAAAGCTGAGACGCAGAGCGGAACTCTTTCTCTCCCCTGTCCAGTTCACCTGCTGTAAGGAGACCCCCGCCTCTGCTCCTACCGCTCCGGATGGTGTGTGTGAGGCCTAGCTGCTGGGATCAACGGACCAACGCCTTCTGATCTGCTCAGCCTCGTACACAGAGGGACGCCTTGTGTCCGTTCATTCAAGATTTTTCTTCTTTTTTTCTCTCTCTTTCTCTTCCGCTTCTCTAATAGTCCAAAACAAGCGGTCGACCACGTGACTGCTTTAAAATAAAAGACAGTCTCTCTCTTCTGTACTAAAAACGGCAATGGACCATCTCGAAGTAAGCTCCGTTTCTCTTGTTGTTTTTAATATCTAAGTTTGTTTGCGTTGTGGCCAGGCCAGACAGACTGTTTAGATAGTTAATTTGCCTTTATGATTGATCTGTTGTTTTCTTTTCTTGAGCTTTGTAAAGCGATTTGAAGCGTTTTGATCAAGTTTACTGTGAACGTTGCTCACACCGTCAAATACGTGTCCGATCTGGGGCCCACACCCACTGATTATACGTGTTTTTGGAAGCCAGGCTAAATTCCACACACACACACACTTCAATCCTTTGTTCAACCAAACAAAGGATCTGCCATTTAGTTTTTCAAAACTCCCTCCAGTTTGGTAATCAGCCTATCTCTGTCTGATTACATCATCAAGCATCCCCACCTTTGCTTGATTACATCACCATCTCACCCCACCGGTCTGATTAGATTGTTTCTTCACAGTATCATTCTATTGTTTCCTTGCTTGTTGCTTGTTTGATAAAATCAGTTGGTTGACATATTGATTGGCTAGCGCCTTGGAGGAGCTGAGGTGGTTATATTAGATAATAAATGTTATGCCAATTAAGTTTTGTCTAAAGTGAATTTGTCTGTGTTGGATAGAATATGACCGCCGCTCTTTAAAAGAATTTTACAAACTTTAGACAGCTTGATAGAGGTTTGGATTCATTTTTTCCCCTGTTAAAAGGGGTGGTGCCCTGAGGCATATCCACGGATATCCTTATTAAGTAATAAATCGGTAAATATTTCCATATTTACAAATTTTATTGATGAATCCAAAGGGTAAGTAAAACTTACAAACTATTTTTTGGCTAATAACCACAACACTACCAAGCTTTAATGCCAAAGCCTTTTATAAATTGTCATTTATGAATTGTCTTTTAAATTGTCATCTTTAAATTGTTAGTAATAAATTCTTAATTTTTTAAACCTGACTCTTCTTTGAATAAAACACAGAGTGGTGCATTTCGTCATTGAACGAGCAAATCTCTTTAGATCTTCTGAATTAATAAAAAAACTTTTGCTATTAATTTAAATCCCTTACATTAAATATTAATCTTTTGATTAAATATAGACCAAGCCAGTTGATGTATGAACTTCTATTGATTATATAAATATCTGTGTGTATATATATATATATATATATATATATATATATATGATATAAGTTTCATTGCTAATTCGTTTGATCTTTCTCAGGGTTTAATAAATCTGAATAGCAACAGCGTTAAATTCTAGTTATGCAGATTAACAACGCTACAGTTATTTTGAAAGGTATAAAGGTTCCATGTTTTCAGGTGTTTCAAGCATTTCCCTCAGAACGGACAGATATCTGGTATTTCTGGAGTTGGAGAAAATTGTTGTTTTAAATGAGATTGTATGGTATATTAGTCTCTTATGAGCAGTAGATGTTGGTAAGAGCGAGGGATGTCCCGATACAGCTTTTCCCTTCCGATACGACACCGATATTGCAGCCTTCTGGACTGACCGATACCGATTTCAATCTGATACAATATCAGCACAAATCATGCATACATCTATCTATTTCGTAGCATGGAATGTATGAAAGGCTTGATCAAGTGATATTGCTCAATCGGAGAACAAGAGCCAATAACAGTAAGTAAGAAACAATGACAATTTTTTCTTAACCATTGGTTGCAAAAATATGAACATTAATGGACTGCTTATATCAGAGATTTTTGATGCCATCCATTGTTGATATTGATTTACTATCGATATCGGAATGGGACATCCCTAGTTAGAGCAATTCTAGACCATTTTTAAGGACATCAAGGTCTCAATAGTGAGTTCATTTTTTCCATGAGCACACCTATTCCACTTCATCTGGACTTAGGGTGGGAAATGATACATTTATATCAGTATCAATGGCATTGTCTATTCAGTCTATCAATTAAATTCTTTATCAATTCCCTTTTCAATTCCAGCACATGGCCTCCTGCTGTCATGTTGTGGGGGTGGAGATGGCAGACCATGTGTGGTGGTGGGTCTCAAGAGGCAGAAGAGCAGGCACTGATGAAAAAATAAAAATGGTTTAATGGTGGAACGGGAGAGACGGGACAAAACACGATTGAACAAACAACAATGATCCGACGAAGACAGCAACAAGGAGGGAGGTATAAATACACAGGGAAATCAGGAACACATGGGCAGAGTAATGAGGGACAGGTGAGAACAATGAGGTTAATCAAGGCAGGAGAGACACAGTCAGGGAGGCCAGGGCGGATCATGACACCTG